TGACCGCGCAGTGCCCCAACTTTAATGTGATCTGTGAGTAAGGTAAACGGTTGTCCATACAAGTAGGTTGCAGCTTTTTGAGGGCCCACACCACCGCCATGCACTCCTTTTCAATGGCAGTGAATATACTTCGCTGTGCAAAAGTTTACGGCTTAGATAAAAATCAATGCCGTGTACACGTCCACTGATAGGAGACGCGGAAGGTATTAAACTGATCAGAACAATACTAAACACACCACTCCTTTTTTTTTGGTGAGGCTCTACAGGACAGAGTGCTTCTCCACGGGACATGTTAACTCACGGGCAGCTGGCTCATCAGGGAACCACAGCAGCTTTCCATGTACAGGTAAGACACGTGCAGCCGGTAAGGGTTCAGGCTCTTCTTCCTGGAGGATACGCTGCAAGCCTGTTGAACGAGGTGACCTTGCTCGGCTCCCAGGTGTACGGTTCCTAAAATGGCTGCCATATACACGTCCACTGATAGGAGACGCGGAAGGTATTAAACTGATCAGAACAATACTAAACACACACAAATAAGGTTTCTCTCCTGTATGGCTCCTCAAATGATGCTTAAGATTAGAAGCGGCTGAAAAGCATTTCTCACACTCCGAACAAAAATATATTTTTTTAACATTCTCTCCACTTTGAGCGAAATGACGTTTGGGAAGAGATTAACATAATTAAACACAGGCAGTAAAAATACAGTTTTTAGCCATACCCTGTAACTTTAAACTACACATCCCATCTTCATAATTACATATTTGGAATCAGCACACTTAAAACATAAACATAACCAAAAATCAGCCAAATCCATGCAGGGGTTAAAAAGTTAGCTGGAGGTCCCTTTATGACCCGACGCCAAGCACACATTTTCCTGCAAAACAGTTCCATAAGATTTGGGCTGTGAGGTCGGTCTATTTCAGGCTGAAAAAAGCAAAAATGGGACTTAGTCTCTGCAGCTGAAATAAGGCTGAAAAGCGGCTGAAAAAGACTAAGTCCATCGCGAATAGGACTTGGTCTCTGCAGCTGAAATAATTTCCCATTTACTGAACCAGAGTGGGGAAATAGCCGAAGGCAGGCACAAAGGGTTTTGCACCAGGTCTGGGGACACAGGGGACACCTCTTAAAGGGGGCGTGACCACAACAAGTCTCTGGGGACACGGCCTTAAAGGGGCAGTGTCCCAATCTTCCTGATGTCCCAAAAAAGGTGTTTAAAGGGCCAGCACCAGTCACATAAAGAGTCCATAAGCCCCAACATGCCCACCGACAGTCTTAAAGGGCCATACACACCAAATAAAAGTGCATACATTTTCACAATCTCCCAGGGGCCATAGTCATGCGGGAGGAGGCTGGCAAAGAGGCTTCTCACAACCCAGGGAAACAGGGCAATTTGCCATTTAAAGGGCCCGTTACAAATAGCAGTTTGTAACAAGGTGTCAATCCATATCTGCCAAGTGACCCGATGTAGGGGGACCAGTCCCTATTCTGCTCTGTGTCAGTGTGTATCAGGGAACCTTAGGACAGGTGTCAATCCATATCTGCCAAGTGACCCGATGTAGGGGGAACAGTCCCTATTCTGCTCTGTGTCAGTGTGTATCAGGGATCTGAGGACAGGTGTCAATCCATATCTGCCAAGTGACCCTATGTAGGGGGAACAGTCTCTATTCTGCTCTGTGTCCGTGTGCATCAGGGGCTCTGAGGACAGGTGTCAATCCATATGTCAAGGTGTCAATATGTCATATGTCAGGTGTCAATCCATATTCATTGTGATTTAGGAATGTTAGGTGATTTCTGCCCTTTATGGATTAAAACCAGACTCTGTATCAACTGTGTAATTTTCCATGGGAGTTTTGCCATGGATCCCTCTCCGGCATGCCACAGTCCAGGTGTTAGTCCCCTTGAAACAACTTTTCCATCCCTATTGTGGCCAGAAAGAGTCCCTGTGTGTTTTAAAATTCGCCTACCCATTGAAGTCAATGGCGTTTCGGGCGGTTCGGGTTCGCGACATCACTAGATATAATTAACAAACACAATGGGTTAACTTAATTATAACAGGCAGAAAATATACAGTTTTATACAATATTCATAACTTCCAAACCATAAATGCAATTCACATAAAAGTCACATATTCTGAACCAGCATAAGCTGTAGACAAACGTATGTCAAAATCATACCAATTGGTCCAGTGGTTCAAAAGTTAGGTGGAAGTCCCATTTGACCAACTGCAAGCATTGCTTTCTTGCCCAAAACAGTTCCACAGATTTAGGCTGTGCAGCCGGTCTATCTTCTCCTCTATCCTGGAGATAATTGGCTTAAGTAACTGTAGTAAACTCAATTATTTCCAGGTACAGAAAATATCACTAAGTTACAACTGCAACAAAACACATTAAAATACATAACTAATATTCTATAGAACTGAACCCCCACACCTATCCCCAGATAGCTTGGATCTGAGCGCTCACTATAGCCGAACAGTGCTCAGATCCCATGAACAGTATAAAATCGCCATGGGGTTAAACAATAGCAAGGGCTGATGAGAGATTGAGGAAGGACAAAGCAGCCAGTTTCAACTGGTCTGGCAGTGTCCCTGGGACAACGCCCTGCTGAAAAAACAATGGGACAGGAAACGGGGGAGGGGAAGAGGCACACCTTCCCATGGACTCAAAGGGGCAGTAAAAGTGTCCGAAAATCCAATAAGCCCAAACAGACTTTTTAAATGGCAGTACTTCCCAGGTGCCACAGTCACAAGGCAAGAGGCTGGCAAGCAGGCCTCTCCAAGAACAAGTGGCGAAAGGCACTTTGTCACAAAAATAAATTAATAACTCTCTATTCAAAGGGTCTCCTACAGCCAAGGTTTCTAAATATCAACACATTTATTTAGTTTATGGTTAGCAATAAAAAATATTTTTCCATTGCTGCTTGATAATCTATATATACTGATAATTCTCAACTGAACACCAGCTACTTGTGTCGGTGCTCTAATTGCAAAAACCAGTTAAAGTACCAAAAAAGAGACTCCAGGGGTCTCAAGGGGCTTAACCCCGGGAATAGAAAAAAATATAGAGAGAAAAACACAATGCTTATCACAATCTCCAAGAAAATTGTGACTCGCTGTGTATCCTGGAGATATACAGTAGTCTAAACGAAAATATTTAAATAATATTAGGATATCCCTAAAAGGTGAGGGTTATACAATAAAAATAAAGTGCCTAAATGCTCCACAATGTATGGAAAATATATAGATATTGGATTATATCAAGTATCCACTATGAGCTTTAATATATCTGGCTCAGTGGGTAACCACAATGCTATCTATATAAATATAATATATTAGCCTGATAAAATAATAAAAATAAAATGCCTGATGCGCGTTTCAGTGCTGACGAAGGTGCTGGCTTCACAGCACTGAAACGCGCGTCAGGCGTTTTATTTTTATTATTTTTTCACTTATGGGCACTTAACACATATCACGGCATGATACTTAGCTTGCCTTATAGGGTTTTCTATGTTTCATTTTTGTTTAATCTAGTCTGCTCCACTTTTTGCTTATAAGTGTATATGGGAAGGGAGAGACTGGTTATTATTATCTGTCACTGCAAATTTGATATGCAGTATACCTCTATTACTATACTATCTACTTTCCTTTACCTTCTCATAACTATATACTCTATACTTTATCTATCTGTCTATAGATGTGTCATTGAGCACTCTAAGCATCATGACATCTATACCTAATACTCTTTCATTTATTTCCATTAGACATATATAGAGAGACAAGACTCTTTTATCTCTTGAAGTCTTGTATACTTTATTTATTTCTTTTTATTTTACACTCTGATATGTGTATCTTTTTGGATTATAATTAGTGATGTCCCAAACTGTTCGCCGAACGGTTCGAGAACGGTTCGCCACGAACGGTTCGCCGAGGACTCCAGTCAGCTGACACATTCCAGCCAATCAGCAGCAGACCCTCCCTCCCAGACCCTCCCACCTCCTGGACAGCATCCATTTTGAAGATGCATTCTTAGTGAGCTGTCCAGGAGGTGGGAGGGTCTGCTGCTGATTGGCTGGAATGTGTCAGCTGACTGGAGTCCGCGCGAACCGTTCGGCGAACAGTTCGGGACATCACTAATTATAATCTTACCAGCATTACTAATCCAGCACTAACTGATAATTAAATCTTTTGACCTCACTATAGAGGATCTTTTTGGCAACATTGTATTTGTATGCTAATATGGAATATTTCTTGTTCTAATTAGAGGTAGCACTCCCCTCTGACGAGCTTGGGCGAAACGCGCGCGTCAGGGGACTTTTGCGTTATCCAGCCGCTATTTATTTATCATATTGATTTATTATTATTTTTACTCTCTCTGATGTTCTCTTAGGAATCCTTTAGCGGGGTTAGCTTTAGGTGCCCATGAAGGCACATGGGGAGATTTAGCACGTAGGATCAGCATTTTTTCTCTATCTCTGTTTACACTACTTTAGCATCTAGACGCATTATTTCGGACTGGCAATTTAGTCTTTCGTTTTCTATCCCACTAGGTCCGTAGTATGTGCTGCAGACGCTGATGTGGAGAGTGCCACACTTTGGTAACATAGTATCTAGTATCTATGTAGCAGTTTGTGTACATATACACGTGGTGTTTATTATATGAATAAGTCTAGTCACTATCTGACAATTCTATTTACTAGTTAGTTATCTAGAGCTTATAGATCAAGATGAGAATTTTTCTATAAGTCATCATACACTTTGATCCTCTCTCCCCTTTGCCTCCCTTTCTACATAGTACAGACGTGTGCTGTGTGTAGTATTGACATATTTTCAAGACATCAGTATTTATTCTATATTACTATGATGTACTTTTTTGGTTGGTTTTAACTATACATCGTAGGATCCATCTTCATTATTATTGTGTTTTTTTGTTTTTATCTCAGTACATTGAATAAAGTCATTTATTATTTTTATTTTTACTTTGCCTTATGACCCAGTGGCTTTTTTTCCACGCTATATTCTTACATTAAGCTGTCTAGTAATAGCCTTCCCTCTACTTTTATGGTACACTCTCTTCTTTGTTTGTAATTTAGCACTTTAGAGTATTCTGTTTCTATTTGTCCTTTGGCTAATATATTATATTTTATATAGATAGCATTGTGGTTACCCACTGAGCCAGATATATTAAAGGAACACTATAGTCACCTAAATTACTTTAGCTAAATAAAGCAGTTTTAGTGTATAGATCATTCCCCTGCAATTTCACTGCTCAAGTCACTGTCATTTAGGAGTTAACCCCTTAAGACCGGAGGGCGTACTATTACGTCCTCTAATAGGCGGCTCTAAACGCCGCCGGGCGTAATAGTACGCCCTCCGGTCTTTCTGTACTTACCCGGTCGCCGGCGGTCCCACGCCGGCGATCGCGGTGGGGGGGACTCCAAGGGAGCCCCCCGCGGCACGACCGTTCTCCAGGAAGCCCCCTGGCCGTGTGAGAGTGGGGTCCTAGCGAGGACCCCACAATCACATGGCCGGGTATAGCTGGCTTCTGTATTGCCAGCAGGGGGGCTGCCTGTAATTACAGGGGGTCCCCCTGCTGGCTGAAAATAAAAGTAAAATAAGTTAAAAGTGTAAAAAAATAAAATTATATATACTTAGATCATATATATATATAATATATATATGATCAAAGTATATATATACACATATACATACACACATGTACAGCATCTAGGTGTATTTTACTATTAATATATATATAATTATATATATATATTAATATCAAATTACACGTAGACTGATACTGATTAAATATATATATAATTATTGTTATATATATATTTATATATATTATATAAAAAATTAAAATGTAAATACGTTAAAAAATAAAATTACAAAAATAATTAAAAATAAATAATTAAAAAATATATAGATGTGTGTTATTTCGTTCTAACTGTATTGTGAAATTAATATATATATATATATCAAAATACACATAGAACGAAATAATATATATATTTATACACATAAATATATACGTATATATATCACTATATATATACCTATATATAAATAAAAATATTTAAAAAAAATTATATAGATATATACATATATATACACATACGTATATATATACATATATTGATTCTACATATATATATATGTAATATTTTTACATAATTAGGTATCTTAATTAATTACAATTAGCAGGACCTGCATGACAACCCATGCCAAAAGTAAAGGGAATTTAATTTGCTAGCACTATATTTAACCCTATAACTTTACGAGACACCATAAAACCTGTACATGGGGGGTACTGTTCTACTCGGGAGACTTCGCTGAACACAAATATTAGTGTTTCAAAACAGTAAAATGTATTACAACGATGATATCGCCAGTAAAAGTGACGTTTTTTGCATTTTTCACGCACAAACAGCATTAAACGGACAATATTATTGCTATGATACTTTTACTGTTTTGAAACACAAATATTTGTGTTCAGTGAAGTCTCCCGAGTACAACAGTACCCCTCATGTACAGGTTTTATAGTGTTTTCAAAAGTTACAGCGTCAAATATAAGGCTTGCGTTTCATTTTTTTCACATTAAAATTCGCCAGATTGGTTACGTTGCCTTTGAGACCCTATGGTAGCCAAGAATGAAAATTATTTCAGTGATGTGAGAGCAAGAGCAGTAGACACAACCTGCTGTATTGTAAATAGAAAGGTCCAGTCTTTTTAGTAGCTACTTAGTCACAAACACTGGCCAAAATTGGCGCTTTTTGCATTTTCACACACAATAAACAAATACTAACGCTAACTTTGGCCAGTGTTTGTGACCAAATGGGTTACTAAAAAGACTGGACATACCCCATTTGGTAATACCTTGGGTTGTCTACTATTGCAAATGGTATGCCATTATGGGTGTAAATTTCATTCCTGGCTACTATACAGTCTCAAAGGCAATTGGAATCCAATCTATAACCAATCTGGCGAATTTCAATTTCAAATGTAACGTGCTATATTTGACCCTGTAACTTCCAAAACGCCATAAAACCTGTACATAGGGGGTACTGTTTTACACGTGAGACTTTGCTGAATACAAATATGTGTATTTTATTGCAGTAAAGCAAACAGTATTATGACATTGACAGTTAAAATGTCATGTAGAACAAAAAAAATCCCAAAAAATCTTATTTTCTCCATTTTTTTCATACCAAATTATGTTTCACAGCTAAATATTTGATATTAAATGAAAGCCCTGTTTCCCCTGAATAAAATTATATATAATAAGGGTGGGTGCATTTAATATGAAAGAGGTGACAGACATGTAGCGGAAATGCCAGGTTTTGTTTACATTTTGTTTTGTTCACAACGTGTACATTTGGCTCCGTCCTTAAGGGGTTAAATCACTTTGTTTCTGTTTATGCAGCCCTAACCACACCTCCCCTGGCTATGATTGACAGAGCCTGCATGAAAAAAAAACTGGTTTCACTTTCAAACAGATGTAATTTACCTTAAATAATTGTATCTCAATCTCTAAATTGAACTTTAATCACATACAGGAGGCTCTTGCAGGGTCTAGCAAGCTATTAACATAGCAGGGGATAAGAAAATCTTAATTAAACAGAACTTGCAATAAAGAAAGCCTAAATAGGGCTCTCTTTACAGGAAGTGTTTATGGAAGGCTGTGCAAGTCACATGCAGGGAGGTGTGATTAGGGTTCATAAACAAAGGGATTTAACTCCTAAATGGCAGAGGATTGAGCAGTGAGGCTGCAGGGGCATTTCTATACACCAAAACTGCTTCAATATGCTAAAGTTGTTCAGGTGACTATAGTGTCCCTTTAAAGCTCATAGTGGATACTTGATATAATCCAATATCTATATATTTTCCATACATTGTGGAGCATTTAGGCACTTTATTTTTTATTTTTATTTTATAACCCTCACCTTTTAGGGATATCCTAATATTATTTAAGTATTTTCGTTTAGACTACTGTCTATCTCCAGGATACACAGCGAGTCACAATTTTCTTGGAGATTGTGATAAGCATTGTGTTTTTCTCTATATATTTTTTGCTTGATAATCTATCAGATTTTTTACTTCTTTCCATGAGAGTAGATCAGTATTCTTCCATTTTTTAGCAATAATTTTTTTTCACCACAAGAAAGAATTGATCAAATAAAGCTTTTTCAAGCCCACCACACATGTATAAAAGAACCTTACATCTCCAGCACAGTGCTTATATTATATAACCATATGGAGCGCAGCTGCAATGCTGAGACTGACTATCTCCACTGTAATCCTCTGGAGCTGGAAGGGAAGCACTGTTGGGTTTTTCCCTAGAGTCTCTCAGTGTCAGGGTTTCTTTGCTGTTTTAAACAGCCACCCTTCCTTTTTCAGTGTCTGAGGTTTCAGCTGTAATTAACTATCAGCTCCTTCAGCATGTTGCCACGGTTACTCACCTGAGAATAATAATCAACCCTGCTGCTAATCAGTTCAGCCTATTTAAGCAGCAAATCCCAGAACCTCCTTGCCCTTGCGTGGTTTCCTGTCCCCCAGAAGTCTCCTTGTTCCTGTGTTTCCTGTTTGCTCCTGGTTCCTGACTCTGGCCTTGTTCCTGACTCCGCTGACCTCCGTGCTCCTGATCCTGGCTCGTCTGACTACCCGCTCTGGTGACTGACCCCTGCTTGCCTCCTGGACTTTGCTTTTGGTGATTTCTTTGTTGTTTATTTAATAAAGGTGTTTTTGCATCTAGATCTGTCTCTGTCTGGTTCCTGGTTCCTGACACTCGGTCTGAGAGATAATTGAGCTGGGAATTTAGATAACTCAATTATCACTCAGTTACAGGAAATACATAAAATATTATAAAACACCTAAAAAATATAATAACACATTACAGGAACCCCACAATTTTTATATCCATCAATAGCCTGTATCTGGAACGGGATTGCTATTTGGGAGAAGTTTTTAATAACCCAAAATATTTCCAGAGAATCCAGGGCAGTGGCCGGGCTTCGTTCGGGTGTCCTGCATGAACACCGATGAATGATCCCCCTGGCTCTTAAGTAGCGAATGCTCCCCCCAGTCGGTAGATCTCATCTCCCAAACATGGTTCATCTAGTTGGTTGGGAAAGTATACAGGCAGCAGTACAATGATGAACAGAGGTTTGCAAGAACGTGTAGCCGAAATTAGTTCCACGCACTCGACGACCAAGTACTGTGGCCTGTGTTGGGGAGACAAAAACGCCTTACACTGGACCACGTGCATTCAGTTATGCAAATGGTGGCCACTCAGGGAAAGCACTCAGGTTAATTCCTTAATTGCAGTTAACAGCCAAGGGTGGTTGATGTTCTAAGTCAAAAATGAAGTTCTGTTCGGTTCCCAAACAGGGGAATACGGTAGTGTACGGGAAAATTAAAAATGGGTTCGGGCAACCTCCTGGACTGACACCTGGTCCGCCACACAGCTCCCCTGTAACCACAAGCTGGCATACACATTCTGATCCCAACACATCGACTTGGGGATGTCCTGGGTGCTCACAGATCATTTCTCTAACTCAGTTTCTCTTGATAACCCGTCAGCATTGCCATTCTGTTTCCCGGGGTGGCAGTGGATGGTGAAGTCATATGGCTGCAGTGCCAAACTCCAGTGAAGCAGCCTAGTATTGTCTCCCACCACCCGGTTTAGCCACACTAACGGGTTGTGATCTGTGAGCAATGAGAAAGGTTGCAGCTTCTTCAGAGCCCACACCATGGCCAGGCATTCTTTTTTGAGGGCAGCGTAGCTTACTTCTCTGGGTAAAAGTTTTCTGCTTACGTAAGCTACAGGATGTTCTCCGCCATTAGCTCCGACTTGGCTCAGTACTGCTCCTAATCGAAAAATAGAAGTGTCTGTGTGGACAAGAAAACGTTTAGTTGGATCGGGAGCAGCTAGTACAGGGGCATTTACTAAAGCCTCTTTTTAGTCGCTGAACTCCTCTCTGGGTCCCAAACTAGCTGTCTAGGAAGGTTCTTATGGGTCAAGTCAGTGAGAGGTTTGGCTAGGGCACTGTAGTTGGGTACAAATTTCCGGTAGTACCTCGCTGTCCCTAAGAAAGCCAAAACCTGGGTCTTAGTATGGAGGGTAGGCCACTGCGCTACAGCTTCTATTTTCGCAAATTTGGGCTTCTGCTGCCCGCTCCCTGCTCTGTGACTGAGGTACTGTGTGTGACACTTAATGGGCTTAAGTGTCAAACCTGTCTCCCAAATGCAGTCAAATGCCGCCCCTACGTGCGTTAAGTGTGCTTGCCAGGTGTTGCTGTATATGGCAATATTGTCCAAGTATGCATAATCTTAAAACCCATCCAATAGCCTTTCTACCATCCTCTGAAACGTAGCTGCAGCATTTTTTTATCCCAAAAGGCATGACCTGAAACTGGTACAAGCCAAACGGGGAGACAAACGTCGACTTAGGTATGGCATCTTCGGCTAGAGGAATCTGCCAGTACCCCTTACAAAGGTCAATTGTAGTGAGGTACTGGCCCCTGGCCATCTTGTCTAGGAGCTCGTCTATCCTGGGCATGGGGTAGGCGTCTGACACAGTTTTGTCATTCAACCTCTGGTAGCCTACACAGAAGTGGGTCTTGCCATTCTGCTTCGGTACTAGCACTACTGGGGATACCCATAAGTCATCATACACTTTGATCCTCTCTCCCCTTTGCCTCCCTTTCTACATAGTACAGACGTGTGCTGTGTGTAGTGTTGACATATTTTCAAGACATCAGTATTTACTCTATATTACTATGATGTACTTTTTTGGTTGGTTTTAACTATACATCGTAGGATCCATCTTCATTATTATTGTGTTTTTTTGTTTTTATCTCAGTACATTGAAAACTGATACAATGACTCAATGACCCTCAGTTGGAACATCTCCTGGATCTCCTTCCTCATGTTTTCATTAACTGACTCAGGGATTCGGTAAGGAGGCTGGCATAACAGCAGCTGTTCTGGGGTTTCTACTCGGTGGGTGGAAAGAGGAGTTTACCCGGGCAGGTTAGAGAAGGTGGCTTCCTTGGCCATGATCAACTACTGTATTTGGGTACGCTCCTGAGGACTAAACGTGACTCCTAACTGTAACTCCTCTAGGGTACCTGTTTGATACCCATCCCTTAGGAGGCCTGGTGACTTAAGTGTCCCTTTAATATTACACCTTTCTCTCACCTGTTGATGAACTCTTCGGCATAGAGTCCTGTGCTGAAGAATTGAGTTACAGGGAGAGCAGCAGACACAGACAAAGATGCATTTTTTTGGTGTCTTTCTCCTCCAAGCTTTATCGCTTTCTCCACTTCCCCAGCACTTCTGAGAGTTCATTTCCCTCGTTCTACCACCTCAGTGTGTCTATTTTCCCACAGCCACTCTGTGTGTCTCATTCTCTCCTTCCCCAGCCCCTCGGTATGTCTCTTGATCAACTTCCTCAGGCCCTATGTGTGTCTCCTGTTCCCCTTTTCCAGCCGATATGTGTTTCTTTCTCCCCCAAGCACTTTTATGTGTCTCCCCCAACTCCTCTGTATCTTTTTTTATCCTCATCCCCAAATGTGTCTCATTAGCCCCACATCCCCTCATGTGTTCATGTGTCTCATTAGCCCCACAGCCTTTAATATGTCCCATAAGTCCCCTCCCATCCCTCCATTTATCTCATTAGTCATCACAACAGCCCCCGTGCCTTGTTGTAGTGTGGCCGAGCAGGCAGACTGTGATAGAGAAGGTTCTGTTCCTCTCCTCAGTCTGACAGGAAGACATTCTGTGCTCTCTGTGAGCACTTCCTGTTAGACCAGGTAGGGGAAGAGAAGCTCCTCTACTGCGGTGTGACTGTTTGGCCATTCTACATTCATACATCACTTCCACCCCTGTCATTTACCCTGTGATAGCGCCCCGAGGGCCGGTGCACTTTAGGTGGGTGCATACCATCCCAAAAGTATGCCAACCCACTGGTAAATTTCCTGATATCCCAGGGGGCCAGTCCGTCCATGCAGTAACCAATTACATTATGCAGTATTTCAGATTTAACTCCTTGCATCTTTTTTTTACTTTTTCACCATGCATCCCCAAAAAATTTCAAAGTCTTGTAACCAAAAAAAATCTCTTTTTTGATAATGAACTAGTACTCCTGTCTACATTGATCAATCTGTAATTTGTGAGCTTGCATTAGCATGGAGGCACATACAAATCTATCTAGATTAGGCATGTCCAATCCTCCTTTATTCTTATTATCAGACTATATACATTTTTCTGTAGATGTCTGAGAATAATGTTTCCAAAATTAGGAAATTTGATTGGAATCACCCAAAGAAGATATAACCACCTCGGGAGTATATAGACTTTTACTATATTTTATCTACCCATCCATGACACAAATAAGCTTCATCCTGCAATTTGTTTATTACATTGAGTTATCAGAGAGAAAATATTTAGATCCCATAATTTACTTAATTTATCTGGTATATAATACCCAAATATTTGATGCCCACCTGTGCCCATTATAAACTAAAAACACACTATATTTTGTGTCTAATTTGGCCACACTTATTGCTTGAAATATTTCTAAATTCCATTTGTAATTTGACATTAATCCATAGATTTTTCTTCTTTAAAAAGAGGATACAGAGATGCTCAGATCTCTGAAAGAGGGTTCAGATGGTTAGAAGGACATTGTCCACACATAAACTTAATTTAATCCTTGATATTTTATTTGTTCTTATTCT